CAAGTGATGTTTGATTATATATACTGTATGTGTAGGACACTGATGTATTTAGGACACTTCTGGATGTCCTGGTTAGATTGATTAATCTAATGATTGTTTGGAGTCTCACAGATGGAGAATGATCTCAGGAGCCCTGACAAAGAACGAGTTACTTCTAAGAGGCCCTGCGGTCCTGAAGATGTCCAGATCTCCAACATCAGCTTGTCACGCACATGGGAGAGCAAACGACCACACAAGCAGTGAATTTCCAAATTAGCCATTTGGAAATCCAGGGAGAACCTTGTGAGGGGTCAAGGGTCAGAGGACGTGGCTCTGATGCTGACTGGGCTGCTGGCAGCTCGGCTCAGGGTGGAGTTTGAGTTTTACAGACTGACAAAAAAGTCAGAGGTGTTTGTATATGTCTGGGGAGTGCAGGATGTGCTCAGTGAGACAGAAATCATTGGTTCCGAATTTTTGAATCTTTACTTATTTATTTATTTTCCTTTCTTTTGTTATTTTTATTTGTCTAGTTTTTGGTAGTTCCTTTTTAGCATGACTTTTTCTTTGTTGTAATTTTGATAACAGCAAAACTTGTGTTAATGGAATTCACTAGAAATAAAGGTCAGTTTTAAAAATAAAAAAAAAATCTCTCTCTCTTGGCCTCACTCAGTTCTGTTGTTGCTGCTGCAGCGTCTCCTGCTGCCACCAGAGGTCACTGCTGCACCTGAGACCTGGAGCCCAGTCAGCAGGAGGCACACAGTTGAGACAGAGACAGGTGAGCGACACCTGGATACGCAGGACTAAAACCAGGACCATGACCTGAACCTGATCAGGTCTCATCAGGACTCTGGACCTGATCTGATGGAGGACTGTGACCTGGGTGAAACCTTCAGGTGAGACACACTGATGAAGGAGAGTTATTCAGGTTCTGTATCAGCTGTTTAATTCTAAAATATCATCAGTTTACATGTGATTATTGATTATCATTTTTTGTACAGTCGTTTACATGAGAAACATCAGAGGTGACAGGAAGTAAAATACATGAAGAAGAAGCTGCAGAGGGACGATTCACAGTGTCTGTAACAACTAATCATTGTTGATCATCATCAGTCTGATCATCAGCCTCCACTGACGAGTCATTAACAGACACATTGATTAACCACAGCTCAGTTGTTATTCTTCCTGATCTGATTGTACAGAAGAAGTATTCATTCATATTTAATATATACATATATTTGAATATTATATATTAGAGTAGCTTTAAGTTTCCAGTTATTTTGACCAGAGAAACTTTATAGTTCACAGGTTGGTTCCCAGTCTGATAAATAAATAAATCAATCAATAAATATAGACTCTTCTAATGTCAAAGTTTTTCTCTCTGAAAAATGTCATTAATCTCCATGAAACATCTTTTTTAAAAGCTGTGGAGCCGCTCGTTAACACGAGTGAATCTTCACTTTAAACCTGAAGCTTCTTCTGCACCAAGTGAAACATGAAGAAATTCATCAAGTCAAACTTTAAAGAGTGTGTGTGTGTGTGTGTGTGTGTGTGTGTGTGTGTGTGTGTGTGTGAGTGTGTGTGTGTGTGTGTGTGTGTGTGTGTGTGTGTGTGTGCCTGTCTGTGTGTGTGTCTGTGTCTGTGTGTGTAAGTGTGTGTCTGTGTGTGTGTCTGTCTGT